TACATATATTACACTTATAGGAACACTTTTTATATATCACTGTATGTAACATTTCTCATAGTGAGATAAAGTATTAAATTTGAATCTTACACTAGTGCAAAAATTAGTTTTAAAATCGGAGTTTTAAGATCGGTTAAAAGGTGACCGATCTTAAAAGTCACGCGGTGACAATTTTGTAAATAATGTGAACACTTTTAAGATCGGTTATTTTATGACTGATCTTAAAAGGTATGTCTGACACAACTTTTAAGATCTGTTACAAAATAACTGCTCTTAAAAGTTGTATCAGACATAATTTTTAATATCGGCCATAAAATAATCGATCTTTGTAACACCCCAATTTTTATACTTTTATTGAGGGTAATTTAGTAATTATTAGGGGATGATTAAGTAGCCCAGAACGGGCCGTTCCTAAATTGGAATGGGCCGTTCCAAACTACTAAAAAGACCTATTTTTGGTAGCCTAGAACGGGCCGTTCTAAACCACCAAAATGGCCTATAACCCTAGATTGGAACGAGGCGTTCCAAAGATGAGAACGGGTCATTCTAGAGATGAGAACGGGTCGTTCCAAATATGGCCGTTATGGGTTTAATTGCAACCCCAGAACGGGCCATTCTGGTTTGAGAACGGGCCGTTCTGGATGTGAATTTTACACATGACGTGAGATTTCAGAACGGGCCGTTCCGTGAATCCTGATGCCAATAAATTGAGTGCTCTGACACTCCCAAAATCATATTTTTCAGTTCTGACTTCTTTCAGTTCTGACTTCTTTCTTCTACATTCTCTTCTTTCCCTTCTACACTCTCTGAAGACCGAGGGGCACTTAGAGGAGGAGACCAAGGATATATCTCTGTTTTAGTTTCAATTGTTTTTTTATCCAGGTACGGGGGAAAAAGGGATTATTTATATGTAGAGTTACATGAGGGAATTAGGTAGAGGAAGAGCCCTTATGATTATGAGTAATTTTATAATTATTTCTGTTTGGAGAATTAATGATTCCATTAGATTCTGTACGTGTTGAGGATTAGTAATATATATTTAATTCGTAAGAATGATCATCTGGGAGAGAGAACGAAATTTAGAAAAGTGCCCGTAAGTTAGGTTTTAGAAAATTAGATTATTTTTGTTTGAGGAATTGATGATCCCATTAGATTCTGTATGTGTTGAGGATTAGAAATATATATTTAATTTGTAAGAATGATGATCTGGGAGAGAGAACGAAATTGTAAAAAAAAGTGCCTGTGAGTTAGGTTTTGGAATAATTGGGAGTTTTACCGTTTATGTTAAGATTATATTAAATTGGTAATTCCATTGATTATTATATTAATTTATGAATGTTATTGTTATATTACTTGTTAAGAATTGATGATCTAGATGTGAATTGCTTGAAGGGTGTGTAAACCCTTATTTTGTTGGACTTATGTTTTGTGTATATGGAATTGTGTATGTGATATGGAATTGAGCTATGAGATGAGATGTTGTATGGATGTGATTATGATTGTGATTGTGGTTCCTCACATCAATGACCAGGGATGGCACGACCCCTGGGTAAGTGATGCTACAGGGAGGGTGTGACCCTGACATGGTGTGGGATGAGTGAGACAATTGACACGTATCACTTATATCAAATATGGCAGTCCTGACATAGGGTTAATTGCAAGAATTGTTTGGATTGTGATGTGATTGTGGTTCCTCACATCAATGACCAGGGATGGCACGACCCCTGGGTAAGTGATGCTACAGGGAGGGCGTGACCCTGGCGTGGTGTGGGATGAGTGAAACAATTAACCCATATCACTTATGTCAGTTGTGACATGGCCTTGACATAATGTTAATTGTAAGATTTGTGTGGATTGTGATGGATTGATGTAATTGTGAATTGAGATGTGAAGATGATGAATGATTGAAAAATTATGTTATATATAAATGCTTGTAAATAATTCATTATGTAATGAGTTATGATGAGATTATATTGTGGTGTGTTTGTATGTGTTTTACATATAGATGTTTTCTTTTCTCACTGTATAAATTGTGGATGTTTTAGGTGAGGAAGATCCGGCTATGAGTGGCATCTAGAATGCCAACGGTTGAATTGTGGATATGCTCTGATATTGTGACATCGGGGCAGAGGGTTTCTAGGACATGAATTTTTATATAGATTTGGAGTTGTATTTATTATTTTGTAAACTCTTATGTTTCATTTTCTAATTTATTTATTTTCAATTATCTTGGATATTGAAGAATATTTATGAGGGTTTTCTTTATGTGAACCCTTTTACCTATGCTGAAAATTTTATTTCCTTAGTCTATTTACATTATTACAATATATGTGTTGGGGTAGTATGGGTGTCACAATCTTAAAAGTACTTTTAAAATCGGTTATTTAAGAACCGATTTTGTATGTAGTATACAAAATCGTTCTTAAATAACCGATTTTAAAAGTATCGTCAGAAACCTTTTATATTTCCCTCCATTCTCATTCTCTTTGATCTTTCGACCATTCCTTTTTTTATTCTCTCGCGCTCTCATTTTCTAAAGTCTTCTATAAGGTAAATTTCGTTGTCGTTTTCGTTTTCGTCTTCTCATGCTCTTCTTGTGTCTCTAGTTTCTTTGTAGGTTTATTTTTGTTAAATTTCGAATCTAGAACGGCCCGTTCTGCAAGGAGAACGAGTTCTACAAGGAGAACGACCCGTTCAACAATCAGAACGGCCCGTGCTGCAATTAAAACGACCTGTGCTGCAATCAGAAAGGCCCGTTCTACAATCAGAATGACCCGTTCTGAAACCATAACGGCCCGTTCTGGATTGGTTTTAACTTATGGCAAACTATGCTAGAACGGCCCGTTCCAAACTACAATTTTAGGCCTTTTTAACAACCTGGAACGGCCCATTCCAAATTAATTTTTTCAAAGCCAAAACTTTTAAGATCGGTTATAAAACAATCGATCTTAAAAGTTAACTTTTAAAATCGGTTATTTAACCGATTTTAAAAGTCTAACTTTTAAAATCAGCTCTTATAAAATTAGTTACAGAACCAATTTTAAAAGTTAAAAATAACCGATTTTAAAAGCTTTTTTCCACTAGTGTTACTATGTTCTTTATAATTCTTACCAATAAAAAAAAAAGTATTGTAAAGAAAGATAGATTTATGAAAAGAAATTAATGTTCCATAAAATAGTGAAACATGTTTTAAGTATCCAGCTAGTAAAGGGTATTTACATTTAATATTTCGTGTGTAACACTATCTTGATAAAAAAAAAATAGACTACTAAATGCATGAATCAACATGTTCAAAATTGTTTTAACTTATTCAAGTAGTACCTTAAATTGGATTTTTGATTAAAAATTATTAGTTTAAATAATTCAGTACTTATGTTCTTTAACCAATAAGTAAGGTTTGATTCTCGTTTTAGACATGAAATTGTATATGAAAATCCAAGTCTATCTCTAAGAGCTAGACTTATGGGAAGGACTTACACTTCTTTATCAAATCAAAAACAAGTTGGATACTCATAGGAAGAACTCATGATTGCCTTAAAGGATACATGTGTATAAACAAAAATGAATGAAAGAACTGATATACACAAGAGTATATATTCTTTTACGCTGTTCTCTAATTACAACATATTATGTATCATAAAGTTATTGGCTTTAATAATAATCATTCTCAATATCACATTACAATTTACTTTTAATTAGTTAATGTAAAATCTTACACAAACTTATGTATTCAATTCATTAAACTCTTTCTTCAATAAGAATAAGAAACTTATTGTACATCATTAATTGAGCAAAGAGATGGAATTCAAAAAAATTTAATAAATTTTGTAAAAATTTATATAGAAAATATGAAGTAATTTCCAAATAAATGATTTTAAAAAAGTAACGAGGGAAATATTTCTCTTGCATTCAATTTTCAAATAATTACTACACCATGCGAAAATTTTGTGTCTATTTTTTTCTTCTTTAAAATTAATAATCAGGCCTCATTAAAATTGTGTACGTTTAAGAAGAAAAGAGAAATAGACACAAAATTTTCACTTAAAGTAAAAATTTCTAACATGAGGAGCCCCACCACAAGATAGTGAACGTTTTAGGTTCTCAGCAAAGTTCATAAAAGGACAAATAATTTTTCATGTCCAGCAAGTACTACAAAGCATGCTTTTTGTAGCTCAATTCATTAGTTCAATTCAGATATAAAAGAAATTCATATCCAAACAAAAGTTTGCTTCTCTGTCAAATAGACAAATTCAAACAAATGGGCCCATCCATGTTGAGCAACCAAGCCATGCCGAATATATGGAACAAAATATCAGAGGCACGTTACTCAAAACGCAGAACATATAACCGAAGAACCCTAAATTCAATACAAGTTGAAAACCTAAATCCAAGGGTGAAATTTGCTCAAGGAAGTGAATTTCATTCAATCCAAATGGAAGAAGTTCCAGAACAAGGACTCATTACGAGTCCAAATCAAACCGGGTTGGTTTCTTAGCAACTACAACACTTTACAGTTGAATTTTTTTTATTTTATGTAACATTATTATTTTTTTTCTTAATTTCCTTTAATTTTGAGACAGGGAGGTTGCTTCCACAATCGAGGATGAAGTAAATGAACCAATAAAGAAAAAAAGATATCGTAAACCGAATGAGAAGAAAAACAGCTCTAAGTTTCGGGGAGTTACCATGTCTGATTCCTTTAATTTTTTTATTTTAAATTTTTTTATTTTTTATTTTATTTTTTTTTATGTATGTGAGATATTATTTCATGTTCATGTTCCAATTTTTTTTCATATGATTTAATTTTTTTTTTACATAGGTGTAAGGGACGTTTTGAATCGTTTGTGTGGTACAACGATCGGAAAACAACAGGAAAGAAAGGAAAGACAGGTTGAAAATTGTAGCTTTTCACCCTCTTTTATTTTTATTTTTTGCCCACATTTTGCTAATATTTTTTGTGTCTTGTTGTATGTCTGGATCATTTTGACCATCGCCAGTTTATATTGGTAAGTGTATAATTTCTTCTTTTGTATTCTCCTTTTTGAATTTGGTGTGCTGTTTGAAAAGAAGAGAGTAAAGGAAAAGAGAATGAAAAAAGGGAATGAATTCAAGATATAAGAGTAAATTGAAACAGGAATAAGATCTTGAAAATTAAAATGATTGATTAATTAAGAAAAAAATAACTATTGAGTGATGTGCATTCCACGGGTTCTTTTAAATTCAAATAGAATTACTTTAATTTTTTTTAATGTTCAATCAATTGAAAGAGAATTTGAATTTGATTTAAAGTAGGTAATCATTTTTGCTCTCAATTATTAATTATTTTCACTCATGTACCACTTTTTATTCAAAGGAATATTAAAGGGAACAGAAAATGGAAACTCAAGTCTTTTGTGAAATGCTAGTCACATATGTACTTTCGAATACAATACTTTAAACACTATTAGAAACAAAATTTTGTGAATTTCATTTTTTTGTTGAGTCTTTTTCATAATTTAATATTTTTTAATGAGAAATAGAATGTGTAATTAGAAAGTTTATGTTTGAGCGCGTGTAAGCAAAACCTCTGATCCTTTGCTAGTCCAACTATTTTCCCTCCTGCACATATAATTTCAACTCTCTAATTATACAGAAAGCAATAGTGATTTAGATGATTTTGTAAAAGGTCATAATTAAGAGAATATTATTAAGAGAGAGAAAAAATCAACATATATATTTCTAGTAATTCATACATAGTCACATATCTATACTTGTCGCATAATATATTGATAAATGATATTGATGAAACCAGTGAAGATAAAATTAAAATATAAATATGTTTTTAATCTTTGTAAAATTAATAAGTGAATTTTGATTTTAGTCTCTTTTATTTTATTTTTTTAAATTTGTAAACATTATTTTTAATTTTTATAAAATATTTCAAATCTTTGTAAAATGAATAAATTTTGATTTTGATTATTATAAAATATATATTTTTATTTTAATCCCTCTAATATCTAAAATAATTATGTTGGCTCCTAATAATGATTTTAAAGTAGATAAATAACATTTATTTTAAGAAGTTATAAATTTTTTTTAGAGATATTACACTAATATGATATCATTAACAATTGTAAGTAACATTTGATATGATTATTTAACCTTTTAATAAAAAATATAATTAAAGAATAATTAGTTAATCACATAATAATAAAAACTAAAAATAATATTTATAAATTTTAGAGGATGAAAAAAAAATTACAAGGACTAAAATCAAAACTTGCTCATTTTGTAAGAGACAAAAAATCATATTTAAATCAAAAATCAATATATATTTTCTCTTTTTTGTCCTATATTTTTTGTATTCCCCTATTTCAACCATCTGAATTTATTGTGTATGAGCTCTAATTTCGTTTCAGTCAAAAAACAATCTTATGTGCAGTGGAATTAATCAACAATATGCCTATGGTGGTTGAAATATATGTCCTTTAGAGTTCAACAACATTTTCTTAATACTGCTTAGTGATATAATAATTGAAGCTGGAATTAGAAAGGGTATGGGGCGAGAAAATATGAAAATGCATTTCAAACTCTTCTACTAAAAAATACCTTTTATTTTTAGTAAATAAATTCTCAAAAATATTTTTAATTTGTATCCAATCAGACTTTTAATATATTTACTTGGTTTGGGCAGCTAGGGCTTGAAAAAAGTTGTTCATAAAAACTCATACATAGAAAACATATATGAATTGATTTTTCTAACCACACACAACTAGGGTAATTTAGAAGACGCAAGTTAAACATTTGGCTCTCTTTTATAACATAAACTCCTTTTTTGTTGTGTGTATATATGTTTTTATTTTCTAATTTTGGATTTTTTTCCCTTGAAACGGTGGTGTTGACAGGTGGATTTAAGACTGAGGAGGAAGCAGCCAAAGCCCACGATTTGATTGCCATTAAGATATGGGGCGATTATGCATTTACAAATTTTCCAGTATGCCATCGTATATTTAATTTATGAATTTTCTTTCGTTATATCACAACATATGTACTTTAGATCATTGATTCGATTATAGTAATAGTTGAATTAATTCTATCTCATAATTATACTACGAATCGTAGGAGGAAAACTATGATAAGCAACTCTCAGAGTGGAAACACTTGGACTATAGAGATTGTATTCTTGAGATAAGAAAGAGGTACGTACCCTTATAATTATCAGACAAATAATTAATTCCTTTTAAGATATGTATAAATTGTTGTGCTTCTTTTTTGATGCATGTTTGGTTGGGATTATTTTTAGTAAAATGGTCATTTCTTTATTCAAAAGTCCTCTTGAAGCTAGTAAAAATAGGTATTTGTTTTCTCTAAAAGTTATGCCATACGCATGCTAACAAATTATCCATCTAAATGTCATTATACTTCAGTTTTCGTTTATTGTATTTGTTTAACAAAGAAAATAATATTAAAAATATATAAACAAAATTCTACAACCATTTCTATTACTTATTCTAAATAAGTGGGTAAAATATTTATGATATTATATTCAATCTTAACTATTTCAGGATTGGGAAAGAGAAAGACAATTCAACGATAGGATCTGATGACCTTAACATCTCCAGGTTTGCACATTATGGTGTCTTCTCCTTATTAACTAAGAAAATCTTAAATTTGGTCACATGTTATATATATTTGTTATTGCATTAGTTTTTAAAGGATTTTAGTCACGTACTGTTGGAGAAATATTAGAGTAGTGATGAAAGAATTTTTTTTGATGAACTAATTTGCTGACTAAATTTTTTAGAGTATTAATATGGTGATGCATATATATGGACAGAATTAATTGTGGATTTTAATTAGAACGTGTAGGTTTTTTTATTTTATTTTTTATGATAGAACTTTGTGATTTAAGAAAAATGTTATCTATTGTTATTAGTAACACATTATCTAATATATTTTTTTAATATAATCTATTTTTGTTTGAAAATTGTAAAATATAATTAAGAGTGACTTGTTAAATAAGAAGGAAACCTACAAAATTGTAGCAATTACTAAATTTTAGTTAATAATAAAGTGATTAGAAAGTATAATGTTAACATTGCTCATTTTTATTTTCAACTTAATTTCACTTTGTTTTGTGTTAACTAAGTTTAAAAGTGAAACCTAAACAAATTAAATTGCAACTTTTACTAAATTTTAGTTGACACTAGTGTCACAAAATGTATTATATATGTTAATGTTTCTTAATTTCATTTTCGGTTTGTTTTGTGTTTTCTGAAATTTATACAAAAAAAAAATATATATATATTTTAATGTCTTGTTTTCTCTCGCTTATTTGAAACAGAAACATAGAAGGAACCGTTTCAAGTTCGGCAATGGCACAAACATCTAATGATACTCTTTCAACTGAAAGAGACATTAAAGCATGTGAACCCTCTACAAATTCCCATAACAACAACACATTAGAGCAGCACAATAATCGTGATGGATTGGAAAAACATGTGTTCATCTCACCCCCTTTTGATGGCCAACAAAACCATGATGGATCCATTAATGCTGTTGCTGAAGCAACAACAGTTGAAATGGAAGAACACAATGCAGATGATGAAACATTCCCAAACCAAAACTCCACCATAGTACAGTCAATGTTGCAAGAGAATGGTCAAGAATCCGATTCTCCAGCAACATGGCAAAACCTACATGGGGGTGTTAATGAGAGCCTTTTTGGAGATCAGTTTATGTATGATTTTGATAAAGACTCATGGCTAGGTCTTGAATGTCAAGATAACCCAAGTTTCCAAAATGGTCAAAATTCCCCTCTTTGGTCATTTGATTATGGAAGTGATTCAGTTGGGTTTCATACACAAACTTTAGGCAATGATAATGCCCTAAATTGGGGGCATTCAGGTTCAATTTCTCATACGGGTAATGTAAATCCAATAGAAGCACAAAATGGTGGTGTTGGTTCAGTTGGGATTAGCTCTACAGGGTTGCATCCAGTGGTTCCAAATATTCAGCAATCTGAAGCAACAAACCTAATTCACCAAAGGTATGAACCTTTCCAACCTTGCTCTGAAGCAAAAAGTAGTTCTCCAGAGAAGATTGTTGACAATGATTTGGACATAAGCGATTATCTGAATCTCAACAACCCTGACATGGATGACACAAATTGGGATCAGTATACGAACCAACTTTGGTCAAAATCAGAGGCTAAGAGAGGTGACTAGAGAATATAGAAATAGAGTGTGGTTCAATAATGATGGACACAACAGTGAAGGGTTTTATACCAAGGGAATTAATGTTGGGCTAAGAATGTTGCTTGAAGAGAATTTTTGTACAGTAATTTTCTATCTAGAAAGTGTTTTATGAGACTTTTCAAGCTTGGATTGTTAATTTTCTATCTAGAGTATTTTTAATGGTTGGTCATGATATTGAGCATTAATATTGAGTTTTACCATCTGTGTTTCAAAGATGATATGTTATGGTATGAACTGGGGTAACCACTTGGTTCAGGTTCAAAATGCCATCATTGTTGTTTCGTTTCTCTCTACAAGATGAAACAACTTATGATCATCATCTTCGGATCATTTAGATAATATTGGTGATGAATGAGTTTTCAATTTGAAGCCCTTTTATATTTATGTTTTTAAATAAAATTATATTTTTATCATCACATCTTATATATACAGCTATCATCACAACTATAATATTTTCATACCTACCTTGCCTCTTTCTCTATCATCATATTCATATGATATCTTTCATATTTTATCACGTTTTTTTCTCTCAATATACTATGAGGTATAACATTTTTTCACAAATTAGAGTACTAGGCATATATAATTATAGAAGTTAAATTATATATTAAGTAATAAATCTAAATATTAACACTATTTTTTATTAATACATAATTTCTGAATTTCAGCAAATTTAAAAGGTATATCAATTATTAAACAAGTAAAAAATCTAATTAAATATAACTTTAGGTACCTAAACGTATCTAGTAAATTATATACAAATATATGTGTGTACTTGTATTAGATATACACACTCAATATAGACTGGACTATGCAACACTACCTATGCTACCGGGCTCGGATCCGCTAGTGCACTAAAATTTAATTTGAAACTTGTCATGCATGTAAATAATTCTCAACAACTTGTTACAATAAAATTTTAGAATGAAATTATTCTCCTGAGTGTTTTCTTCTTTATTTGCTTGTATTATTATTATTATTATTATTATTATTATTATTATTTTGCATGTATATACTAGCTAATTAGTGCTTCATTCCCTGTAATGATACCCGGTAGATTTCACTAACTACTTCATGTTACTGTACATATAATGTCGATTCATGAAATTTCAACATTATCCTAAAAACTTGATTCCATGCTTAAATTTTTGTTAACTAGATAAGTTTCTTTTATGCATGATACTAGTCGCACGGATTTATGTAGAACAAATAATTTTATTTTAATGTTCAAAAGTATCGACGTTTGTTAATGAGTTGTTGCTTATTTGCTTTACATTCCTAAGGCCTTCAAAGATACAATATTTGATAAAATTTATCCACTTTTTCGTATATCAAATACAACGGCTAATGTGAGATCTAATAGCTGAAAAAATATCTTTTATTGATTAAATTGAGTGGTACAAACTGCTGAGATATATAATTGCAGTGATAACAGATAACAACTGAATTTCCTTTACACATTTTGAATAAAAGAGACATAGTAGGATCTATAATTCAAATAGAGTAAAACAAACTATTAAAAAATAACAGTAATATTCACTTTTGAATAAAAAAGAAATCGTAAGATCTACAATTCAAATAGAGAGACAAACTATTAAAGATAAGAACATAAATAGTAATAGAAAAGTAGGATAATGATCCTCAGTTTGTTGTTGCTTCTACAAGATCTAGCTCATTTTGAATTGCATGATAGGAATAAAATACTTTTTCTCCCCAAAATTCCTTTACATAAAAAATGTTTATCTAAATTTATTGTGTTTAGTAAAAAAAAAACTCAATTCACCAGCAATATTAATCTTGTTACACAGCACACATTACAAGATAATACTCCAAGTTTTACAGCTTTTATCTTTACCTTACTCGTCACACACTTTTTTATAAAAAGAAATGAACATTAAGGTAAAAATAAAAGTGAAAAATATTTTTCCTTACAAGAAATGACAAATTCGTGTATTTATGGGGAAAATCCAACACAATAACAACTAAAATAAAAGAGCAATACTTTGTGGAAATAAAACTCCCTTGTAAGAATAGCACCAACAAAATAGAGCAAAAAGGGATAATACAAAATTTAAAAGAAACACAAAATCTTAACGTGAAAAACCTGTTAATGTATTGATAAAAATGTTGAATTATCTAAACCAAATAAAAAATTCACTATAATCAACAAAGAATACAAGAAAGTTTCCCATAAATGCATATATTAATTCATAAACTCAGTCAAACAAACTAAGTATCAATGCTTGAAAATGAGAAACAACATGAAAAATCCTCAAAAACAAAATTGTTGATATATATGAGACTCTTTCCTCTCACTCTAGACCTTTTACTTGACGTTCCAACCATTGAAAATGAAGTACCACCTCTAACAAACATTCGATCAAAATTTCAACTCGATCCAATAGTGAACAAGAATGTAATATTCTAATTTTTTGAAATAAAATAAAATAAATTAAATTTGATAGAAAAATTAATTAATTAAGTTTATAATATAAATAATATTTTATTTAAATAAAATAATAATAAGGGGGTTTAGAGGGGAAGAAGAGTTTGGGTTAGACTTTGTGCCTAGCCTAAAGGCTATTAAAAACAAAATGAAGGCTAGTTTTTGTTATGCATCTTTTCAAAATCCCAAGAGTACCTATAAAGGAAAACCTGTAGGAGGTCATCAGAGAGAACGCATAATAGCGTTTGAGGCTACTGGAAGTGTAACGCCCAAAATATGCTATTAAAATATATTTCTTTTTTACTTTAAAACCATTGACTAAAGGAAACAAGTCATATAAATATTTTTTCTTTCAAAAACATGTATACGTTTAAGGAAATGTTTTCGTATTTTGAATCATTCCAAAATTAAATCATAAAGTTAAGTTAAATAAGATAAATATAAAATAAAATAATTCAATTATGCCTTCAAATTTATAAAGATAAATTGAACCTATGTTGATGAAATAAGCATAATTAAATAAGAACAGTAATTTAAAAGATAACTAACTTAATGTACAAAAACGGTCATCAAGTTATATCCCCATACATACAGCTATAATATGTACATCCACAGTTGCTTGACAAAAGATGCAACCCCAAAAATTATTATGAGGTGTAGGTACTAAGTACATTACTGAGTATTAGCATAGAGAGTATATATATAGAAAATTTCTCATCCCAAATATACAACCCAAAAAGGAAATAACTTATACTCAAAGCAGTCTACCCAAAATAAGAGAGCAAAACAACTTATATGAACTAACCCTCATCAAACAAATTATCACATTATTCTCGTTCCTCTGGAGTCAAGTCTTCAGGATCAACGTCTCCCTCATTAGCATACACTTGAACTCATGTGTCATGTTGAAAAGTCTGACGAGTAGGCCTGCCAAAAGCATCATGATCAAAAAGTTGCTGATAAAACCTTAAAGCATTTGCAGGTTTCTCTATGCCATAATAAACGTAGTAGTATCGTACATGATGCTTCTACATGCTTGGCCTCTAGTTGAAAGGCATCATAAAAGTCACATTCACCTGTATTGTAATTAGTGGTTGGGGTTGCTCGCTTAAGGTATGTACCAACAGTCTATAATAACTATAAAATACATGCGTCCTAGCTTCTATGGCTATCTCATGGGTATATCGATACTCAGCAAGACAAGAGTATTCTTTGTGGAGTTATCATTTCTTAAAATATGGGCTATAAGGGTGAGTTTCCCCCGCTCCTCAAACTCCACAAGCACAAAACAAACATACAATAATACATCATACAATAAACAAATACATAATCATGCAATAATTCCTAATGGTTTTATCAACAATTTAATTCAAGTATATGAAAGAATCATTAACACATTAACTTGTTAACTTGGGCCCAAACACTGCCACATGCATGTAGATAATTGCCAGTTGGTCAACGCTCTAGATAGATACAATGTCAACGCATATGATCTCTTGGCTAAAAGTACAGTTCGCATCAACATTAAAAGTGGAATGTGAGGCCTGTGATTTCTAACACGTCAAATATGTACATCAAATGTCGGTCAGATTCATCACTTTCCAACTTTCCAAGGTCAAAAAGACCCATTTTTCCTGTACCCGAGTGTATCTCTATAATTATCCACACGGCCACTTAAAGTTTCCTTATACCATAATCTAAACTTTGTTGTTTAATACCTAATTCTACATACCTTAATAATCATTAAACAAATTTGAAAGAAAACAACACAAAACATTTTTAGCATACTAGCACTCAAAGGAAAATAAAATTCAAGAGAAGCCACATAAACAAACGAGCAGCATAACAACTATAAATTCAAATACTCCGAACAATTTATTCCAGTAACTCATATCAACACAAACAATAACCCTGTATTACAATATCATTCTAACCAATATGTCAAGGGTCAAACACCCCCGGACTCAGCTAAGTCGCATAATCCAAAATATATATAATCAAGAAATAAATTTGCACACCACAGTTAAATTGTCAGAGTTCACACTCTCACGGTCTTGTCATTTTGACCACTAACCTAAGGTTTCAAAATAATATTTTATATTACAAACATCAATTTTAGACTATACAAAAAAATAAAAAAAAAATTCATAAATTCATTATTTTATCACTTGGTACGTATTATTTTAATTCTACTATAGAAAACAAAATAAATAAATAAATAAAATTTAATACTTCTCAAAGATTATTCATGTTCTAAATTCATTTTTTTAGATCAAACTGACAATTAAATCATTTTAGAAACCAACCTAAAAACAAAAAAAAAAATAGATGAATTAAAAATACCAAATCTTAATTATAAATGCTAAATTGTTTAGAAATCAAATTTTCAAGAAATAAATGTGTAAACATGCATTTTCACACTTTATTAGAAAATTTTGAACATTAAAAATCAGTATTAAAATAGGGTAACCATCCCAAAAATATACACTATTTTTGTGCTTCAAACAGTTAATTTCACATAAATGCTCAAAACTTGTTTTACTCATATTTTTTGCTAGAAAACTCTATTTTGAGAGATCTTTGAACCAAACCTTAGGTTTTCATACCCAAGGAATCCATTTTTGGCATCAAAAATTGAAAATAACAACTATATAAGTGCAGAACAGAACAGGGGAGTGACGAATTTTCTTAACAACTTTTCAAAAT